GGCCTCGTAGCACTCAACAACAGCGTAGATCTCTTCAATGTCTGCATCGGGCGCAAACTTGCGCATGATACGCTCGCCAGACGGGAGCCGCACACTAATACGAACCGCATCCTTGACATCTGACCCGGGCTCCGCGCTAAGCGATTGCCCGCGCCAAAGCTTCCACTGGGCGAGATTGCGGCGCCGCTGCTCCTCAGCCGCCTGTCGGCCAGCGGCTTCCTGTTCTTCGCGTTGGCGTACCATCTCCGCTTCCCGGCGCTGGCGCGCCCGTTCACGGTCGATCGCCAGCGACCGCTCGTAGGCTGAGTCTTGCTCTTCGCGGAGGCTGCGCGAGGCTTGCTGCTCGGCGCGTGAAGATCGGAGTCGGTCCAGAGGCTCACTGTTAGATGTTACGACTGTCCGGAGCTTGTTCACGACCTCGGATGGTGTAGTGAGACCTGCGATCCGTCCCACAACAGACATGGCGGTTGATGAAACATTCGGGGTATGGACAATGACCGCTGCAAAGGGGAATTTCGTACATTTCAATGAGTTGGCGACTTGGTATGCTTCGGAATCTTGCACATTGCCGCCCCACACCAGGAGGCTGTTCTGGGGGTCGTTGATGAATTCCACAACCTCAGGTGCCAGCAGGGTATCACGGACCCAGCTGCTCGTATCGTCGTGTTCTGGAGATAAGAGAATGACCACAAGGTACTTCAAGTCACGATGGGCTTTCTCCAGCGCCATGTTGTATCCGTTCTCCAGGAACGGGATCGGGTTAGATTCATATTCTTCTTCAAACTCGCGGATAAAGCGAGCCGCAGTATCCTTAGGGCCGAGGGATCGACGCCCAGTGGTATTCCGGCGAGCGCCTTGCAGCGCCGGGTTCGCCGTCCTGTTAAACAGGCGTGGCAAGAAAGGGAAGAGGACACCAAAGAGACGGAATGAACTGCAGAGGAGTCGGTACACCAAATTAAATGGAGTGAGAAGTAGACTAAGGATGAATGGAGGCCGATAGACTGGCTGGTCTCCTGGTTGTGTGTCAACTCGTGGAGCCAGATCTGTAGCTGTGGCACGGGTAACTTGCGACAAGTGTTCGGTTAAATCGTCGGTCATTAGATTCTGAGTTCGGCGGTTGGGTTGGGGTGGAGGTGGACGATCCATGGCAGCGCGAGCTTCTTCAAGGGGATCCGGGCCTTCGCCATCAAAGAACTTGGCTATGGCAATCTATCATGCGGGGATCAGTTAAACTCTCGTACACCTGGCCAGAAGTCGGGGAAGATAGGCCAACCTGCAGATTCCATTGCGACCGGCGTAGTAAAGGGATTGCCTCTGAAGGTTCCTGGCTAGTAACAGCCATGTACATTTCTAGCGTAGACTTCTCGCTATCGGAAAGCTGGTCCAGGTCAACCTCCGGTTGTGACATCTTGTCATAGGAGGGCCGTCAGCCATAAACTCAGGGATTTGGGTAGTATCAAAAGAGAGAGAAAAGAAGACCCATGAAGAGGAAGATCACTTGGGGATGGTCATTGAGCACGTGCACAAAGTTCACTACATAGATGGTAAGAACGACGTGACGTCGAAGCTCTAAGTGGCCTCAAGACGAAGCTCTCATTGATGTTCTGACCGCCTGGTCCGTGCGTATCCCCCTTCACTCGAGTTCGTTTCTCGCCCCGCGTCTTCATCTCCATCGGTTCTGTTGCTCTTAATCATTCCTTGGGATGAGAGACGACTTTGGTCTTATCCTTATATTCCATTCATGCCTATTGTTATCGGTTGAGGTACCGCCCGACGTCCGTGGGCTATCCCGGAATTGACCCGCCGCCAATCGCGTGGACTATTGGTGACTTGAAATTACATAGGATCAAAGCAGGGGAATGCGGTTTTCACCCAATAGCATCCTTTGTTCTCTACCGAGTCCGGTTTCAATGGGGATCTTTTTGCGCTGATCCGCACCATCAAGTGGGTATCAGCCAGATATCATGGCGTCTGCCGGAAAGCCTCCATTGGAGGATGCTCGTCGGACGACAGGATCACCGAAAATGAAGAGCCGCGGTGAGTGTGATTCAAAGTCAAAATCTAGCATCTCACTTCCATTTCAGGACTGAGATGACAAGCCGGAGATAAAATGCCGAATTTGAGACGGACGGAGTTGCTGACAACAATGATTGCTTGATAGAGAATGCGAAAGACACATTGTGCCGCAACGTGACCATCTATGGGCGATGCCGCTATGAAGACAAAGGTACTGGCAACCCTTGATCACGGCCAGCGTGTGTGTTGAAGCTGATTTGGAACTCTTGTATCCAGGTTGTGCTTTCAATCATGACCCGTCGAAGCTCAATGCAAATCAGTCAGACAGGTGCGATGCGAAATCGGTCTTTTAGACGAAAAGCAGACGAGCTTTGCTAACAAGGTCTGTCTTGTTTAATAGCAAGAAGCGATTCAATGTCGACTCACCTAGTTTCACCCCATCCCTACTGTCTGGAAACGGTGTATCAGCACCAAAGAAGTCCACCACTATATCTCCGAAAGCTGCTAGTGCAGCTCCTTTCCAACCTCGAGCAACATCATCACGTACGTGCTTTGTTGGAAGATGAAGGAAGGTTGCAAGGCCATCCACTGACGTTAGAAAAAGGTTCAAACACGAGTACGCCAACAACTCGGTCAGAAGCAGTGCAAGATTGGGCGGTGGCCGATGTGCAGGAATTTGTTCCTCAGGGCTTTGAGCACGTGGTCAGTCGTCCCTGCCCTTTTGGGCTACTATTCGTTTTCCCTCGCCTATGGATTGCTTCTTGTTTTCTTTCTTAACCATCCCAATCTCTCTCTGTCTCTCTGCCCGCCCCCCCCCCCCCCCCCCACCACCCCAAACACCTGCATCGACCGTATTCTTATCATCATCTCTACCATCGCGATGGCGCTGGGTGAATTGTCTGCCATGGCAGAGGAATTTGATCCTGGGCGTTCTGAGACCCCTCAGTACTTCACTTCCCATCTGCCTCGACACCACATCCCTCCGCTTTTCAGCGCTGCTCTGCGCAACCGTGCTAATACTCCCACCCAGACACCTCTTCAGGGCAATGGAAACGGGGGAATCGCCACCACGGGTGCATTTGATCCTTTTGTGACCACCCCAACTCCCATGACTCCCGGTGCTGTTGGCCCTGTTTCTGCCAATCCATACTCCCACGACCCTACTGGTGCGATGGGAGGTGCTTTCTTTGCAAACCAAACTGGATTCCAGCAACCGGTACGTTGGTATCTAATGGATTGTTCTCTTCGTTTGAATTGGTTCTAACCACCCAATAGATTCAGTACCATCTTTATGCCCCAATTGGTCCTCACAGCCAGAACACATTGGGATACCAGCGCAACGTGCATGATCTCTTTATTCCCAACGACTTGCGCGAAGAACTGCAGAAGAAATCTGCAGCTACTCTTCAAACTCTCCCTAGTATGTTGGATCGCAATTGACAATAATGTGTACTCATGCTGACGAACTCCAAGACACTCAACTCCCTGCGCAGGTCGACTACTTCCATTCCCTTGTCCCTCTGGATCTCAGTCACCAGAAGAATGCTGCGACCTTTGGCTATCCGAGCTGGATCTACAAGGCTCAGTCTAGCAAAGATGGCACCTTTTATGCTCTTCGCAGACTTGAGGGTATGACGATCTCCCCATCTGTTTTTTTTTTTTTTTGTTTTTTTATAGCTTCCAACTAATCTTAATAGGTTTCCGCCTAACCAATGAGAAGGCTATCCGTTCTGTCCAAGCCTGGAAGCGCGTCTGCAACGCCAGTGTGGTGACCATTCACGATGCGTTCACTAGCCGCAGCTTCCAAGACAGTTCTCTGATCTTTGTGACCGACTACCATCCACTGTCCAAGACACTTGCAGACCAGCATCTAAACGCTGGAACCCGCTTCCCAGGCCGACACACCAATGCTCATATTCCTGAGCAAATTCTCTGGGGCTACATGACTCAGATAGCCAATGGACTCAAGGCAATTCACGCCAATGGTCTTGCTGCCCGAGTTCTCGAGCCTAGCAAGGTTTTGCTTACCGCTAAGACCCGTGTCCGCATCAATGCCTGCGCTATTCTTGATGTGGTGCAGTTCGATACCCAGCGGACTGTGGCCGACCTCCAGCGACAGGACCTAGTCAACTTTGGCCAAATGATTGTCACCCTTGGCGCCAACTCGCCCACTGTCATCCACAACCCCACCAAAGCCATGGAGCATTTCACTCGCGCCTACAGCCCTCAGTTGAAGAACTCTGTGTTCTGGCTGTTGAATGGACTGCAAAAGGATCAGGAGCGAACCATCGACACTTTTATCACTGGCATCTCCTCCCAGCTGATGTCGACTTTCGATTCGGCACTCCACCTGGATGATCAGCTGAACTCTGATCTCGGCCGTGAGTTGGAGAATGCACGAATTGTGCGCCTGATGAGCAAACTCGGGCTCATTAATGAACGCCCTGAATATGAACTTGACCAGCGCTGGTCAGAGAGCGGAGAACGCTACTTCCTGAAGCTTTTCCGCGATTACGTCTTCCACTCGGTGGATGGCCAAGGTGATGCGGTGGTTGATCTTGGCCATATCCTCACTTGTTTGAACAAGCTCGATGCGGGAACTGATGAGAAGATCCATTTAGTCAGTCGCGACGAGCAGAGTTCCTTCATTGTCAGCTACAAGGAGGTCAAGAAAGCTCTTGAGTCTTCCTTCCAGGCTCTGATGAAGCCGGCTAGACGAATGCACTAGCGAGTCTTCGAAAAACTTTACGTGTGGTAATCGTTATGGTTTCTGGTTGCTGCTTACTATTTCTGACCATCTGTTTGATGCTCATGTCTCTGGTTTGACAGGCTGTCAACTAGAGGCATTTTCTCAGGAGTCAACTCAAGAGTTACATCTTTTGTGTCATTTTGCAAGCACCGATCTCGCCACTGTGATTGAAATACAAACATAGGAATGAATAACTTCAAATTGTTTTATTTGACTGTAAGCCTGTAGACATTTCTCACAGTTCACCGCGAGTCACCCCATAGACACAGCCATCCAACCTCTCGACAAGTTCCTCGATCATCAGTTCATCTCCATCTTTACCTTCATCTTTATCCTGAATCTTCCTCGGCGGAACCAACACCCGATCCAAAACATGCACGACCCCATCTCTCGCTAACAAATCCAACCGTCCAACCCTACCAAACCCATTAACCCGCATCTCAACCTCACCAAGCCCCTTCTTAACATCAACCTCCAAATCCCTCTTCTTCAACAGAGTCCCAAGTCGAACATTCGCATACTCTTCCTCTAGCCCACCGTCACCCTTATTCTCACCCTTACCCTCATGTCCATTCCCACTACTATGTCCAGAAAACAACCCGTGTGCCTTCCCATTCCTACTATACAAAACATCCGAGTACAGCGTCCGATTCGGCGCAATATGATACTGCATCAGCGCATGCAAACACTTCTCACCCTGCGTCGAGAACAGAAACCGATTAGCATGCTCCCCGAGCCGTCTAAACGCAGCATTCGTGGGCGCGAAGGTTGTCCCACCCTGTCGCTGCGCCGGATCAAGCTTGGAGGCGACTTTCGTGAGTGCTAGCGCCAGCGTGAAGGTGCTGAACTCAGCTGGTGCTTGGTGTAACATTGTCCGTGTCTCGGGGGGTGGGTACAGGGGACTGGTTATTATGTGGATTATGCCGTTTTTGGTTTTCTGGGAGTGCGGTTAGTACATACCTATGTATACATAGATGAGAAGGGATATTCGTGCTTTACTTACCATATCAGCCCCAACAACCCTACTCCTCCTATTCAACATCACTCCGTTATGATGCTCTCGTACAACAATCCTCTGCGGCAATCTCGATTCCAGAGCCGGCTCTGTCAACTTCGTTGGTAGCGTCCCGTGACCTGCGATATGCTCGATGGATAATCGACCAGGCAGGATGTGATATCGCAGTAAGCTAGACATGAACATGGGATTTCGGCCATTTCGTCGAGGAAGTCCCTCTAGGGCACGGTTCGTCAGCGCGAAGAAGGTGTGGTTTGCTGTCGTGCTATTTAGGATCTCGATCAGGTCTTTATCGTCGACGAGGAGTTCGGCGAGTCGGGATGTATGCTCGTTTGATTTGATGAGTTCCCATGTTGTTTTGTCTGCGTGACAGAGCGGGCCTGGACAGGCGTCGATTGGTTGGTGGATTGGATGGGGTCGGTGTCTGTCGTGGTCGTCTCTGCATTCTCCGTGTCCTAGGTGTGGAGGGTAATGTCTGTCTTCCTCGTCATCTCGGTGTCCAGGCCATCTCCCCTGCGGATCTTCATCGTATCCGGGCCAATCTCCGTGCGAGGGATATCCATCGTCATCGCGCCAGTCTCCGTGTCTTCCCCAAGCTCTATGTTCATCCGAATAGATGCCATTTATCTCACCCCCTGCAGTAGATAACCGATCATTCGCGGTTCGAGTCTCAGAGACTATCTCCGCAAGGATACTCTCATCCGGGATGACAAAGGCCGAGGCCAATGGAGCTGCCACAGACAAGAAAATATAAGTGGAACGCATAGAGTCGATATCGACGAGAAATTGGTGTTAAATGCAGATGCTCGATCAAGCGATAGTAAAGTGTCTATATACACGTCAAATGGACCCATCAACCCAACCCCCCTCAGCTGTCTTAGCCTCTGGTTGTACCAGTGATATAAATTGACCAACTACATCAGATAGCCTAAACACAAACTGTTCAGTCCTCGTCAGTCCTCGTCAGTCCGGTCGTCGTACGGTGCACAAACTCGAGAGACAACTCGACCAATAAGAGCAAAGTCATCGCTGAGAATATGTTACATATTCCAATCAAGACTGAAGACCGGCGGAATACAGGCATGCAGCTTAGTTCCGGGATTCATTTGCTTTGTCGAGATCTTGTATTCACATACAATTTTAATTCTCTTTCTTGTTATCCAAAATCGAACGATATTGGAAGAAGTACAATAGTTCCTCGCTAAACTCATACAGATATAGATCAAGTGATACTTCTCCCGTGCACTTTTTTTTCTCTCGTAATGGCATTTAGCATTTAATCCAAGTCTGGCACAGGCAGCCCATTGACAATCTTGACTTTCCGACCCAGCTTATCTAGCGCAACCTTGGAGTTGTGCGCACGCAACTTGCTGGTCTCTTCGTCGGACACAAGCACAAAATCATATGTGAGGAGAGGATGGCCTTCAGGGACGTTATATTTCTTCGCGATCTCGGCGTCAGCCTTGCCGATGTCCACGGTTAAGGAATCCTTGACGCCGAAGACTGCATCTGATGTTTCGTAAGGGTCGTTGCGGAGGTAGAGAGCACTATAACTCAAGTTAGCATGCTATACTTCGCAATCCCCTCAACGGATCGAAAGCAAAGACCAAAAACATACGTAATCAAATGATCATAACCCTCCTTCTCAAACATAAAATGCATATGCGAAGGCCGATACGGATGCCGATGCAACTTCTTCAACAACTTCCCAACAGGCCCATCATGGGGGATAGGATACGGCACAGGCGTGATAGCCTTAAACCAAAAGACACCGTTGTGATCAGAGCGCATAATACACCTCCCATCAGGCCCCTCTCTCCCCGCATACTGAACATCATAATGCCCCGTCGAATCCGTCTCCCAGATATCAATCTTGACGTTCTCGACCGGCAACCCCTGCAAATCCCGCAGCGTACAAACGACAAGCAGTGACTCGCCTTTCGGATCATGCGACATGGAATCACCAGCGGGCATTTCCTCCGCGTCGTGCGTGTGGAAGGGACCAAGCACTGTCCCCTCTGTGGATCCCTTGGGCTTGGGGTGGTCGATTGAGTCGACTAGGATAGATAGACCCAGGACGTCGGACAACAGGATGAATTCCTGTCGTACGTCTGTGCAGATCTGGCCTACTTCTGTCAGGAAGCGGAGGCCGGTCATCCATTCGTCGCTGGAGAGACGGGTCTCGCGGGCGAAGTCGTGGAGGTGGGTTACTAGGCGTTCGAGGATGTATTTCATGCGTTGGTCTTCGCAGAGACTGTTGATTGTGATTACATTGTCGGTGATGTTGTCCACTGTTTGGTCTTTCATTGGTGGGATCTTGACTTTGGAAGGGTCCATGGTTGGCTGTAGTATAGTTTGTATATAGGGAAATAGTTGAGATGGTAAATGGTTTAGAGCTAGAGAATCCAGGAATCAAGGTGTTTATATGTTATAGGAATTGGTGGGGTGCGGTCATTACTTTCCCCAGATGATACAACATTCTGAAGTTCTGTTCAATCAGAAGATCCCGAATGGAAACCTTTTTCACCCCGCAACCCCCACTAATCCCCCCCGTCGGATGTAAGATCGGATTTATATGCCGGGAGCGTCCATAGGATTAATAGACTATACTATAGGGAACCTGATCCGACGGAATGTAGGGCAGAGAATATATCCGGATGTCTTTAGGCTTCTCCGGGTCATAGATTATATTGTCCAGTTATACTAATAGTACTAAAAGAATATCTATTAACTAAAGTGTGAAGTAAATATATAGTCTTGAAAATACAACACAACGGTTAAAGACCTTATATCCGAACTAGGTGACTTGGATTATCAATATGTATATAAGTACCTAGGCATACTAGACATCCAAGCAAAGCAATGGCATATGTGAATACAGTGGAAACCTTGTTGGATAGAGGTAGACGAGGGTATGTATTTACAAGAGATCGAGAGGGGGGAGATGTTTAGAGAAGCAAAAAGAAAAAGCAAAAAAATAACGCTAATCAGAGGGATATCTAACATAGTACTCCCACGCCCAGCCCATTTTGCCAATAGTGTAAAAAATCGAAAACAAAAGAAAACATGTACAGGAATCAATAGAAGAGCCAATGCTTCACGCATGCACCATACGCCGATCACGATCACGGTCAGCCTCCCGCTCCCGTTCACGGTCTCGGTCATGAGCACCAGCACCAGCACCAGAAGCCGAAACCTGGTTTAACGCAGGAAGAATAATAGGTTGGTGTTCTCCAGCACGCTCCGCACCACGCTCTCTCTCCTGGACAGCGGCAGCAACACGAGTGTGATGATCCACAGTATCCGAGATTGCCTGTCTCAGCCGCTGATTAGCATCGGGATCCTCATCTTCAAAGCGATCCACGACACGAGCAGGAACACGAGGACGATCTCTATTCTCTGTCTCACTCACGGCCCGTCGCGGTGAATTATTACTTGAAGGAAGCTCCATCGGAACCGTAGACCCAGGAGCCGGGTTCGGAACGGAGGGGGCCGACTCGCGTCGGTTGTGGTAGTAGTAGGCGTTTCTCTCTGGCTCCAACGGCGCTTCTCGGCGATGTTCACGCTCAGCGGAGATCGGGGGCAGTGGACCCATACTGTACTGGGGTGGGGTGACGGTTGAGGTGGAGCGGTCTTTGTCCGGGCGCTCGTGGGATGTCGTTGATATAGTGATTCCCGCCCGCATTGCTGTGACTTCATCTTCTTTGACGTCGCGCCAGGAGCACTTGGCGTGTTTCTTTGTGCAGCCAACGCAAGCTGTGAGGTTCTTGAGACAGTCCATATGGAGGCGGCGACAGCGGTCACAAGGTGGAATTACACGCTCGCCGCGCTGGAGCTCTTCCATTCGGGCTATCATTTCTAGCTTGAAGGGGCCTCCGTCGTCTTTTTCTTGGTGGATTGATTTTGGCGGTGGGAGGAGGGATGATGGGGTGTGTGGGATGGCGACTGCGGTTGCGGTTGCGTTTGCGTTTGCGGTTGCAGTTGTGGTTTGAGTTGCGGTTGCAGCCGCGGGGTTGTAGAGACTGTAGTCTGTTGGATCGGAGGCACGAAGCCGAGGGAGTGGCTGAGGGTTGACTGGGGCTGTTGCGTCGTCATAGCCACGGGCGTGACGATCAGCTGTTGTGAAAAACCTCTTCATCAAGTCTGCACGGGTTGTTGGGGAAGCACCTTTGATCGATTGACCGTTGATCATGGTGACATTATCGGTGGATTGTGAGAACATGAATTGGGATGATAGAGGGTTCTCCTCGGTGTGCTCACCCTCTGGACGATGAGCGTTGACAGCGACGAAACCAGAAGTAGAAGGGTGAGATGATGCGTGGCCATTTCCTGGGCCATGACCGTTGGCATCGCGCCAGATTTCGGTGACATTTCGGGATTGCGCATGTAGAGAAGCATCGTTCTCTCGTCGAGTGACAATAGCATTGCGGCGATTCTTCAAACGATGGTTAAGCTGTCTCGCTCGAGCAGAGACTGAACACACAAATATTGTTAGTGAATACGTCCTAAGCTGAGATATGTATATAATGATTTGCTTACCTTGATCAGCCATCTGGGTTATGTGATGCAAGTTCTTCTCAAGAATCTCCAGCGCGCCCAGCTCCTTTTCCTCATCCTCGATAATAGGCTGGGGCGGGATCATCTTCTGCGGCATTCCGGACGCAATCAAAACGAAATCCTCCTCGCTGATTTCCACACGACATTGCTTGGTGTAGAACTGGCAGACTCGCACGCCGTTGCGCGACTTCTCCAGATTGAACTGTTCGGGCTTATTCTTTGCGAACTCGACCACATCGAGCCAAGTCACCGTAGGTCCATCTTTGCCATGGGATTTCAACACTTGCGGCGGTCCGTCGAACAGACGCTCGAATCGCTTGATCAAGATCGGACCGAGCGGGCATGCGCCCAGATTTCCAGCGATGCTCTCATGGCGGTGTAGAACGCCGTCATATTCGCCGAGCAGATGGACGATCGCCGGCATGGTATCATCGACGGAAACGAGCGGTAGGTTGTCAGGGTATTGCCGTGCCAGATAGTTTATCTGCAAGTGGTTCGAGTGTGTCTTGGGCATTTTTGACATGCCGTGATCAGCGGCGGTGGGGGACCTCGGCCGTTTGTGGGCTGACTCCGCTGTTGGAGTGTGGGATTCCATTGTGGGTGGGAGTGGGAAGAGACCCTGTGTACACCCTAGAGCTGGTTTGGGATATGGAAAGAGATTGGAGACTGGGGAAGAGAGGAAGTCGCGGAGAGTTAGATAAGAGCGCGAAGTATAAAACTTGCGCGGATATGAACCGGACTTGCGCGGAGAGAAACCGGCAGGTAACTCCTTTAATAAGACTCAAGCAACATCCATGGAAGAAATGAAAGGAGAAGAAGCGTAGGGCTACAGAGGGACGGAGCAGCGCACGGGGAGTGGAGAGGAAAAACGTGATCTGGGTTTCCGTTGGGGGGAGCCTGGAACTCGGAAGGGTCTATGTATTTTATTTTATTTTTATTTTATTTTATTTTTCATTTTTATTTAATTTCTTTCTCGTTTAGCTATTGACGAATAGTGTCACGGGAATTCCAATTGTAACTTGCGCAATGTGAGGAACTTCCAAAGTACTGTACCTCATCACCTTGAAGCCCTCAGCGGAGTCCCGCCGGAGGGTTCCGCCGACCTACGATACGCTGATCAACCAGGTGTACAACAGTTACGCCTTGCCTTTGGTCTCGCATATCCTGTACTACGTAAAGATAAGTCTACATAATCACCCAGATCCTGG